GCAGCTAAATAAAATTATCTGTATCCACAATTAGTTAAGGTATACACAAAACAAAAAGATGTAAAACATGATGTCAAAAACAGTACACACTAGGGGTGGGATGTAAAAATGCAGGGTTGTTAAAATGTGTTTGAACTTAAGAGCCTGCCTATCTCAAGCCCTCGCCCCGGCAAACCCTATCCTTAAGACTCCTTCATCCTCAACAGAAACACACACACAGAATCACACACATTAACTCACACACATCAAAATGACCTTGTTGTGAGCCTGGTCAGAGCAGTGAGCTCTGCCCCCAACAACGGAATACCTGCCCACGTTCAGCACCTGTAGTCTTGATACTAAAAGCAACTTAACACTATTTGATATAAAAGTATAATTTCCCAATTACATTATTTTCTGGATCTTTTATTGCCTCAGATGATGAAATCTTCTCAGGAACTGTGGTCTGCAGAAACGTTTTATGAGGATCTAAAATAAAAATAAGCCAAGTTACTCTGATATTTGGTATCTTATATTACTCATTTCTAAATCCAATTATTTCTTTCTCTACATTACCAACTTTTTGGTATAATCTATGCAGCTACTTTTCCTTTTCAGTGTCTTTGGGTCATTCTTACCAACCAATTTCTTAACGCTTGTCAGATCTCAAGTTTTTATTCTATCCCTACACACACCCATACGCATACTAGACAGTTAGGCACTTTGACTACACCGAGTAACATACTACGGTGTGTAAAAGAGGTGTGGAAATAAAACACAGGTGCATCAAGAAAGAGAATCATTTGCAGGGAAAAGAGGTAGAACACGGCATACAAGCGTGATCTGCAGTTTTCAATGGAGAAGGTGGAGGACAGCCATCCCCCAACCAGGAAATCATTGCTAAGTAGCTTCTCCACAGCGCTGCAGTTATTCCTAGAACAACAAAATTCCGTCTGTGGAAAAGACCACATCTTCCATTTCTGCCCATTTTACAGACAAGGAACCCAACGCTGAGAAGTGAAAAGAGTTTCCACCCGGAGGCTCCTCTCTGCCTTCTTGGCTACGGACCTGGAAGCCGAAGGTAAGGAGACAGCGGAAGGTGGGGAGAGCGGGGGGCAGGGGTAAGGTCGGGCCGGCCTGGATCCGGCACCAACACGGACAGCCCCCGAACCCAACACAGTCTCCTCCGAGGCCTGGACTGGGAGGGGAGGAAGGCTCTAGACTTACTGGGGCCTGCGTGTAGCCCCCCAAGGCCGGCGAGAAGGACCAGAAGAAGGAACATGGCTCCGCTGACTTGGAGCCCCGCTGCCCAGTACCAGGCGGCGGTTGGGGCGTTGGGGCGCGTGGAGGCGCCGCGCTCCGGAGGAGAGGGCGCGGGCTGCGGAGCGAGAAAGCGCTGGAAGGAAGCAGCAGCACCACGGCTCCCTGCTGCCTCTGGAGGTGAGTGGGCATCCCGGCGGGCGGGCGGATGGGGCTCCAGGGAAGACAGCAGCGACACACATTCGGTTTCTCGTTAACGGAGGAGAGGCTGCGCTGTTTGCGGTTCTGAATTCTCGGATTAGGCGGTGCCTGGCGACGGTGCCTGGCGACGGCTTTGTTTGTATCTTTTACTTAGGCCGGCGACTTTTGAAGTGCTTTCTACTTGCAGTGAGGAGAAGGAACAAAGATAAAAATGCTCAAGTTACTGACAGCAAGCAAGCTCCCTCCTGGTTGGTTACATACCATCCAAACAGACAAAATGCAGATGTTTGCGAAAGTTGTTGGTAGGCTGTCGGGTGATCTGGTTGGTTGCCAGGCCCTGTCTTGAGCAGAGGCTGTCAGCTGCTGGTTGGCGGGACCAGGTTACCAGGTGGCTGACTGAAGAACCGCAGGGGGCCCCAGGGCTAGTGCTGCCTCACTGGTGGGCAGAGTCAAGGTCGCAAAGACTCCAGAGCTGTTGCCCACCCACTGGGGTTAGTGCTAGACTACTGGCGAGCAAGCCGGGTCCTAGGGTCCGATTGCAGGACCCAGGGATCCCAGAGCTGGAATCGGATTGCTGGGTTTGGGGGAAGGGGGCTGTAATTCCTGACACAGTTTGGTATAGGGTCTGGGGTGTCATGAAGCTTGTGTTGGCCTGCTGGTGGGGCAGGGTTGGGGCCCAGGTTGTCCCAGGGCAAGACCTATCCTACTATGGTCAGGCTGGGTCCCCAGATTTTGGGATTGTGGTTTTTCATGCATTTGGTGACTCCCTGCTGGTGGTTAAGGCTGGTGCAGAGGCTAGAACAGGCTCCCTGCAGGCCAGGGCCCAGGGATTTCTGTGGCTGATTCCTCCCTCCTTGTGAGTGGGGCTGGGTCCTGGGCTCTCTGGTGGGAAGGGTCACGTCCAGGGGCAGCTGTGGGCCAGAGAGGTCTCAAGGCTGTGTTCGCCCTACCCCAGTTAGTTGCATGGCTTGAGGGGTCCCAGCACTGGTGCCTACAGGCCGAAAGAGAAACAGACGCTCCTGCAAATGGGTCCGCACTCGGTTTATTGTCTCGTTTGGCTGTGCCCAGGGGAGGAAAGGCAGAATTTTTGTTTCTCACTGAGACCCTCGGTAACGTCTGCTGCCTTCTGAAGGAAGTATTAGTTACTGTGGAAGAGAACAAAGAGACGTGTGCTGAAGGTACTGGTAGCAAATAAAGTAACTTCCAGTGCAAAACGTACAGACAGTTGACATACTGCCAAGTGAAAAATTCATACAGCAAAAAAAGAACTCTAGAAAGAATTTTTAGTTTTGCTTGTGAAATTATTTGGCTATGAGTAACTTACTTACAATTTTCTGTGATTTCTGAGGAATCATCACATTTAATTTGAAGTACTTGCGAATGAGAAAGTCTAACATTTTTCCCACATGCAATGAAATGTTCATGAATACAACAACTAAGTTAAATCTTTGCATTTTAAAGAGATTTAAATACATATTAATTTTACTTTTTCCAAATCTTGGAGTCAATCACTTTTACTTTTTTCATGTTGTAAACAGTGTTTTGTTTTTGCCACATAGAAACTCATAGGCCTTAAGCATTTTGCCTACAATGCCTAACGGATAAAGTGGTATGATTATGATTTCATTTTATAGACTATGTACCTTATATCTTATTAGATTCAACTCTTTAATTCCATTCTATCCACAAGAGCAAATTCCCAACAAACTTAAGAGAACTTGACTAAACTGAAGAAAAAAGACTAAAGTCTTTTAAAAGTGATTTAATTACTCATTAAAAATAAAGACTAGTAGAGATTAATACATTATTTTTGGTGCAGTACTTTACCAATTCATCTACCCAATAAATATTTAGGAATCAATTGTAGGTTATAAATTTCATTTTAATTTAAAGCATATTTATTTTAAGAGATACTTCCTAATGCACTTGCTTATCACTATGTGTTTTGATGCTTTTCTGTGATTTGATCTAAATGAATAAGGAAATAATGCTTTTAGCTTCATATAATATAGTCTGACAAAGTCATATTTTTACAGCAGTTTCTTTTTCTCCTTCAAAATTGTCGTGAAAAAGAAGTATTTGCCACATTTCTGGTTTTATACTAATTATTACCAAAAGTCAAAAATCAAATTCTTGGGCCTCTTTTCCATTTTTATATCCACAGATTTCTTGTTTCTGACCCCCCAGCTAAAAGAATGACAGAGAAAATGAATACACTGAAGACAAATTAATTGAGGTTAACTGACAAAGATGATAACATAGACAGTAAGACTAGAGAGAGAATTCAGTGATAAGAGTGATACAGTTTTACCCTTCCCATCCTTTCCCTACCTCTGCTATTTTCTGTTTTCAAAACTTATGGTAGATTTCTGCTGCTACTTTGACCATGAAACCCCTGTATTTAATGAGTTAGTTTTCCCCAAAACTGATAAAGGGATTTGTATATGTAGATTTGTGAATCTACTAGCATATACAACCCATTAGATTTCCAGCTTTAAAAAAGAGTTTTGCTGTGGTAGTGTTTACCCAAGGAGTTGGTTCTACCAACGTCTCCTACTGGTTTTCAAATGAAAATAAATACTGGGAAAAAGATTCTTAAAACAGGGGAAAAATATATAATGGGCACTCTAACAGTAAAACGCAGCAACTATGTCTGCCTAACTTTATTAACTTTAAAACAGAGAGTAATCCAAGAACGCTTTTCTGGCATGCTAAACACAAGCTAGACTAGGGTTGATATTCCAGATTATACTCTTCCAGTGCAATATACATTGTCCTGTGGATGCTGACTGTCCCTCAGGCTTGAGCACCACTTCCAGAAGAGGATGACTGTGTGAATGACGTATTCTATAATGGGAGGTAATGGGAGGGACAGCTGGAGTAGTGGTAACATTAGTCACGTGTGCATGTGAAGTTTAAGAGTAATCACTCCTTCATTAAACAAATACTTATTAAGCATTTACTCTGCTAGGTGCTAACTATAAACTGATTAGCAAAATACATACACCCATTACCCTCAAGGAATTTCAGAGTTTATCAGGAAAGGAATGCTCACAAGTAGGCAGAAGTCTGGAAGGATTATAGGGTCTGAGCACTGTACCACAAATCACAAATCCCTTGGTAATGGTCACAGAGCGGAGGCAATAAAGAAAATCAGCTTTTTTCTTCATACTTAGTTGGAGAAAGTAATGTCTATAAAAGGGTAATTATGTTAGGAGACATTCAAAGACAGAATAAAGGATATAGAAATGTCAGGTGCTTCCCTTCTGGAGGGAGTGGCTTCATAAGGGAGGACAGATACTCCTTAATGCTGTGGTGTAGCCTGGAAACTTAATCTGTGGATATAAAGGATATTCTGGAAAATCAACAGACTGAACGTAACTAAAAGAAGAAATCTTAAGGAAAAATGCAAGGCAGTACAAGAAACCTAAAACTCTACAAGGGAGAAAAGAAGATGAGATCAGTAAATATTTGATGACTTTAGAAGAATCACAAGGCCACATGGGAAAACTGAAAACTCAAAAAGAGTTCAGAGGACCCTTATCAACACAACTGTAAGCTATTGGGCTGGGGTTGGGGATATGGAAAATGTAGAATTTTAGTGTGTTTATGATAACTGTCTCTTAGATAAACTCCTCCTAATTGGGATAGTAATTCACTCAGTTGCTCATAATGAGTTTGTAGGTATAAACGGAATCTGAACAAAAAAGTGAAATTTCCCTTTGTGTATTTCATCATAAAGCATGCAAAAAATGTTGTACTTATGAGTTAGTTTCACAAAACAATTGTAAATATCTTGTCTCTCATTAGACTTAACTAGTTTCTTCCTATGTATTAAGACAGTGGGCAATCAATAAAAATTTAGTTAACTGAAGAAAAGATTAATCAATAGAATGAAAAATATTAATAAGCAGTTTTGGTGCAGTATTTTATTAACTGGCTGCTCAAAAAATATTAAGCAATTATTTTTTCATTCTCATTTTCAACATATACCTACTTATAAGAAACACTTCCTAAGTGGCTTACCTGCTAGTAGTGTTTGTTTGGGCACTGCTTTCTGACCTGGATCTAAATAAAAATAAAAATGTGTGAGAGTTAATACTAAGAAACTGCCTACTTTAAGAATGAAGATCAAGCCATTTTACACCAAAACTAGCTCTTTTAACACCAGGGGCATGTATGCAACACCACGTGTAACATACAATGCAAAACTGAAATCCTCCAGTGGGGAAATGTATCAAAATAGCAGAGATGCATTTTTTTCCTTTATCATTTCAAAGCACAGTATATAAGTTTGACTCTGAATGCCTAAATTTGACCTTCAGGTTACAGATTAGCTTATTATTGGTTGATACATAAATTGCTACATTTTGCAAATTAAAACTCACATTTACTTCCGAGCAAACTAGAGGACTTAATTGATGGAATAACTTCCCTTTTCTATTCCACATAAAAGGCTTAGTTTCTATTCCACAGAAAAATTTAATACCCAACTGAGCTTAACAGTCAGAAAAGGCTTTTTGTCTGCCAGTAAAAAATGAAGGATCTAGAAATTCAGAGGGCAAACAAGAGCAAAAGTTGAATGACTACAAAGGAACCCAAATTACTTATACCCCGAAGGATGTGATTTTAATAACCCTAGCTTGGAAGAAGCATAAGGCACCGATATTTAGACGTTAGAAAGTGAGAATAAAGCCCAAGCGTGGACCTCCTGAATGGAGATAATGAAAGCTATGGACACCGGGAGTGTAACAGGCAACCTGCCCCAGACAAGCAGTGGAAAAGGATCACCTAGCCTGCACCATGCATCGGGGCTGGACCACAGTTCCTTAATTCCACTACCCACAAGTTTGAACCAGCAAGCACAGAAAATATTGGAACATTCATGCCCTAAGACAGGCAAACCAGAAACATTCCTCTCTTGCTAATGTGTGCCTCTTCAACTTGGGTCTGCAGAAATCCCATGAGAACAATCATTGCCCCTGAGGACCAGTTTACAAGTCTAAATTACAAACGACTGTGAGTTCATGCCCACAGCCAGAGCACAGCAGAACAAAAAATTCACATGGTAAGATCAATGGAGAACAGAAAAACCTCTAATAGAAATGTTTTGGATCGCCACAGAGATCAAGGCAGAAATGAGGCAAGACAAGGACAGCTGTTGGGGGGGGGGGGATTTGGAAACTGACATGGGGAAACCAACGCCAGATAGAGACGTGAAAAAGCACCGCATATGAGCAGCCTGGTTAAGAATGGAGGATAAAGCGAAGAAGACTCTCCCAAACACAGTCACTGTACATGCAGAAAAGAAAAAAAACGGAGCAGAGTCAATAGTTAAAGAGATAATGACTGATTTTTTCCCAAAATTAATGACCTGAGTGCTGACATCTAAAGACTATATTGAATCCAGGGCAGCACAAATAAAAACACATCCTATCAGAACATGTTATAATAAAATAACAAAACATTCAGGACAAAGAGGAAATCTCAGAAGTCATTTAGAGTAAATACATTGATTGGAAGGGAATGAATAAATTAATCAGACTGACAACTGAGGGCTCATCACTGACAGTAAATGTCACACTAACAGCAACAGAATGTAAAAGAGTTGTGGAAAGTGACTCTCAACTACAAGTCTGTAACCATCCAAGCTAGCTTTCAAAAACGAGTGTGAAAAAGACACGTTCAGACATTTACCACGAAATGCTTATAACCACAGACCCTGGTAACTAAAAAGGCTATACTTCAGGAAAAGGGAAATGGAAATCAAAATGAAAAAAATGGGCTCAAGAAGGAAGAGTGAGCAAAGCAACGGGTAAATACGTTGTGAAGTCCTAGTAAGTATTCGTTTAATGTAAAATGGTAACACTAATAACTGACAAATGAAGGGGGAGTCATGCAGGTAAAAAAGGAAAGAAGTTTAAAGTCAAATGACATTATGGGAGAGCTTACTGATAGGGGTTTGCTGCTAAATGACCTAACATCCTTCTGTTGTTTAGAAAAAGACTGAAAATATTGATTGAATTTAGATATTTAAAAGATTAATTATACTAAAATGGTATGAGTATAACCCATACTGGGATTCATCCCACCTCCCTGTAATCTTTGACCTCAACAGTCTTTCCCACTGACTTTCCACCAGAAGAAGATTATTCCAAAAATAAATGACCTGAAAACTGCAGTGGATGCTTTGTCAGTAAAGCACAGCAGTAGAGTCAAGTGGCATTCTTTAAATTTAAATGAATAAAATTATCCTAAAAATGTTTCCCTGGTGTACACCAAGCCAGAAGGTTAGACCAGTGGATTTATATTCCATATTATACTGCTCCAGTTGAAATGTACGTTTACCAATGGATGATGCTGTCAGCCCTCACTCAGTGTAGGTGGGTAATATCCTATGAGAGATGAATTATGTCAACAAGGTTTCAGGATGAGAGATAAGATGAGAGGGAGAAATGGGGGCAGTTATAACATTACAGATATATAGATGTGTGTATTTGTCTACGTTATCTTTGTGTGGGGGGATTTGTTTTTGGTCTGGCTGCCTCTGTGTGTGTGTGGAAAAGATTAAAAGTAATCATTCATTCATTCAACAAATACTTATTGAATTCTGCCATTAACTACAAACTCTGCTACATGCTGGCTATACAACACTGAGCAAGATAAACATGGCCTTTACCCTCTACAGTGACACAGTATTATGAGATGTATGTCCAAGGTGAGGAAAAGGTAAACTGTGCTTGAGGACCATACAGTAACTCCCTGACACTGAGAGGACATAATATTGAAAATCAGTTTTTTTTCATCTGGTGAGAGTAACATAACTCCAAAGTGTCACTAAGAGGAGAAGATCATAATAATAAGAGAGAGAGAAAGGGTAAGAAAAGCAGATACTGTAATGAAAGAGGAAGACCTCTTCTGGAATGAAAGAAATGATGCGACCCTGCTGTGCAGCCTTCACAACTTATTCCATAGATTTGGGAGTTTTGGAAAAGCAGGGTACTTCGGAGGAAACTCGGTGGAATAACACCATCAAAAACTATTGGACTGGGGAAACTAAACAAATATTGTATTATTATGCAGAGATACCCATCTTTCAGGAAATAGAGGAAGACCTACTTAAAGCTACTTTGTAATCCTGAGTGGCTGTGGAAAACACAGAATTATTATTTCTTTACCGTCTTTTTCTTCAGCAAATTTTCCCTAAGTGACCAGGGAAAGCATTCATTCAGTTGTCCGTGAGCATACATATTGGGTTTCTGCCTGTAGAGTCTCAAAATAAAGAAGTAAACCTCCCCATTTATGAGTCAGCACCATAAACATTTTACAATCATTTATTCTTTTGCTTCCCAAGAATAAATTCTCAACATATCTTAACAAAGTAAAGAGAAGAGGGCATTGATTTATTTAGACAAATACTCACCAGTTACTAGACTGGCAAATACTAATAGGATTAGTTTTGTGTGTAGCACCTTATGAATTGCTGCTCAGTTAATTCTTACCAATTAATTGTTGATTATCAATTTGTTCATCTTATTTTTAACACGTCCTCATTTTCAGAAATATGTCCTAATGTACTTACCTGACAGTGTCTGTTCCGCTGCTACTTTCTGATCTGGATCTAAATGAAAGTGAAAATAATGCTTCCAAATTAATGCTTTAAAAACTGTGTGTACATGACAAGTGAGCACCAGACCATTCTGGAACCTGCATTAACTCTCTTATACCAGTCGTCACCACTAATGAGTCCTTCCGAAAGATCACTAAATTATGGTATGTGAACAAGTAACATTCTCATGTACACATATACCACATCCCTAAAGAAAATATACCTCAAATTCCCAAATAGAAAGAGGAGCAAGAACACAGATTTTTTTTCTCCCAGCACAGACTCTATGATTGATTTTGAATGCTTCATTCTGACCTTTAAGGTTCTAACCTAACGTTTTACCCACTGATAAATTACTGCAGGACGTGATTTAAAAGCCTCACTGATTTCTAAACAAGCAAGCCGACTGGGCTGACAGGGTAATTTCCACCTCCTATTCTATAGTAGAGAAATGGTGAAAAAAAAAGAAAAAACACAAAATACTAATGAAAATTTAAGAGAAGAAAGGAACATTTCTATTGGTAATTTGAAAAAAAAAAAAGAGGAAGTTGAAAGCACTAGAGGAACTAAAGGTGAATGACTCCAGAGGGAGGGGAATCAGTTAAACACATCCGCTTATAAGGATGGAGACCACCTGGAACACTGGAGCTGACCCCCTCCTCTAACCCTGGCTGCCATGAAAGATCATTCCACCCACTAAGTGGGATAAAAAAATTGTTATCATGAGTCTCAGAGATGCTTCTGGGAAATTGCTTCAGAAGTACAGATGGAAAAGGATCACCTAGAGACACAGAAACCCAGGTGCTTAAAAGGGTTTAGGGATATGGATGGGGAAGACATCACTACCAAAACTGGAAACTTAAGCCTTCACCACACAGGTTCAGGATACTTCTTCACACTTCCTATGAATTCTAAATTTCCACGTGTAACAAGCACTGTAAACATTTATGACTTAGGAGGGTAAAACATAACATAATCTTGACAAGGAGGATTCTACAAGAAGGATATGCAGCATTCTCATGACATAATCATTGCTACTTAAGATGACCTTACAATCAAATTTAAAAAGCCAGTAGAGGTAATGTCCAGCCAGAGTAAATTAAACAATTCATACACTAACATAAATAACAGGAAAACTTTGAAAAAAGAATGTTTAGGATTTCCATAGAGATCAGTAAAAGAACAGAGTTCATTAAACAAGAAATGACAGAATGAGATCGGCCAAGATGGCAGAATAAGAAGATG